TGACTTCCCTTTCTGTGGTTTTCCATAAAAGCAATATGGGGCAGTAGCAAAACACATATTCAATTATTTCCATAAGGCACATTGTTTGTACTCTTGATTAATGATGGCAGCAGCAATGATTTCTTTATTACAATTTTCAACCAGACACTTAAGAAGAATCATAAAATACCACTCTTTTCTTGAAAGCAGCATGCTTATCTGCTTCCAAAATAAACATCAGATTGCTTTTTGTACCCTCAGTTTCTAACATATGCCTAATCAGGATAAGCTGGGAATATTTTGGACACCTATTCATGCAAAATGTTAGAAACAAAGCAATTGCTGTAGTCTCTAAAGGTATTCAGTCACATGCTAGAGCAGCCCTCCAGCTTCAAAGGAAGGTGCACAGATCCCAAAAATAAACAGATGTAGAATTAATCATCCATGAAAGAACCACCTCAACACATACACACACAACTCAGCCTATAATAGCTCTTCAAAAAAGCTCAAAGGCTTCACCATCCACTCCAAAGTTTGGTACAATTCAATTACTGCTCCTGCTATCAAACATTGTTCTATGCAACATTTTGGTTCAATACAACAATTGAAACATATCCCAAATCTCTGCACGCAGTTCTTAGCCTAAGAAGAGACACTTTGGAGCACATTCCACTTGAGAATGTGCCACATCTGGAATTTTTCATGCAATGATGTTTTACCTGATAGCTACCAGCTGCAAACATTGGGGCCCCACACTTGGGGGTGACTCCTGAGCTGTTCCTCAGCAGGTCACAGGGAGCTCCACGGGCACAGACAGAGCTAAGGCACCCACAGGTCTATCAGGAGTTGTGCATAAATAGGGAAACACATCCCCACAAGAGGCTGCTCACGCTTGGGACCAACAGCAGCTGTGAGAGAGGAAATGTGTGCATGTGGCTGGGAGTCTGGGATTCTAAGTTTCTGGAATCAGTTTTGGAACTGCATTTAGAAATTTGTAGGTGTTCCTTAACATTTCTGAATCACTTAGGATATATAGTTCCCTGATGTCTAGTTAATTATGTTTTAATAAATCAGCAAACTGCTGCAGCCTTGAAGTGTTTAAGCCATGGGAATTGACTGAGGTTTTTTTAGTCACACTCCAGCACTTCACAGAGTAATGACTGCCAAACTTAGTTGGGGGTTTCTGATGTGAATGGATTCATTGAGCTACAGAGTTCTCATTCTCTCTAGCTTACTACCTTGACTATCCTTTTCCACATGTTAAGTATCATGTTTCGCAGCTCTGGGTTGGAATGAAAGAATTTTCAGTGTGGGACATAACTATGAAATACATATTCCATTTCACTGAAATGAGCTGAATGCTATCAGATTTCTTCCAAGTGAAACTGCTGCTTGTCAGTGGAGAAAACTCTCAGATTCAAAGCTGAAGGAAGTTGTGTAAATGCTAAGGAATTATTTGTGTTTTAAAAATCATCAAGGCCTACGAATACACGGATTATTATCCATTTTCAAACAGCAGTCACAGCAGCTACACACTACACTCCCTTGAGGCAGAACAGTGCAAAACATTTTAGAAACTGTGATCTCCACATACTGCACTGGAGATACCCTATTTCCAACTTCCCTGTTGTGCTGGTTCCCAGTCCAGACTGCCCAATTGCTTCATCAAATCCTACTACTCTTGAGACAGTAGACAAAGCTTTTAGGACATCAGCAAATGGCAATTCTAAGACTCAACTGTGCCTTCTGTTTTGCATGAAAAAGGAGATATACCTCTATGGATTAATAGAAGGAGTCAAAACATCAAGTGTTACCTATGCTGCAGGGGTGCAAGGCTAACTTAATTAATATCTCTGCATCAGGGGGTCAACAGCCACATTCAAACTCTTCAACTTGCTGCTTTAGGGCTAACTTTACTGTGAACAGCTCTGAAAATTTGTGTCTTCTACGCACTGAAAACATCTTTTAGCTGTTGTAAAGCTTTGAAAAACCATTAACATTTCTGCTAAGGCAGGAATTCAGGACGAGCTGCCTAAGGATATCAAAATCCAAAATCTAATAGTGCAAATCCAAATTAAACATTGCCTACACCTTTTGCTTTCAAAACTGGTACCAAGTTCTCATTCCTTTCTCACATGCAGTTCCAAGCAGGATTTTCCAGCCACAGACCTGAACCGTGAGGAATGCCAACAAACTAGTGGCTGACAAGTTGAAACAAAAGCAGTTAACTTTCTAACAACTTGAGATTACAATGGGCACAGGTGATAAACACTAAGCCAGAAGCTACAGACACAGAAGTCACATGCATTGACAAAGCCAGAAGAAAATCCATTAATCTGGAAAACTTTTCTGAAGCTGAGAAAGTGCCAGGTCGCTTTTACTTGTGAAGAAAACACCATTCCCTTGCAGTGACAGGTTTGGTGTTGTGGCAGGACCTGCTGTTTTTCTTCCTGTGCATCTTTTAAAGTCTGTCTGAAGATCTGCTCCTCACCTGGTAAGCCTCAATCTTTTCCAATATAGTCAAATGTTTATTTCCCATCTATCTCAGTGTGACTGTCTCACCTTCAGCAGCTACAGCTTTCCTGCATTTACCACCACTGCCTGGTGGACAAGACACTTTGGAGATTTGTAGTACCTATAGTAAAGGTAAAAGGAATGTAGCAAGAAAAAGGATAGGAGAATCATCCAGTTTGAGTCTGTCCCTTCAACAGACAATGCCACTGTATTCCAAATAGATAGTTTAAAAACAAAATTTTATAACTAGTTATAAATTGGTTATCTTCAGCAAAGGATGAACTCAAGTAAACCAACCAATCAACACAGAAAAACCAACTTTTTGGTAGTTGATTTTCACTCTCTTTTCTCTCACCAAGGTCAAAATAAGGTCTTTTATCAACTTCTTCTACTCCTATATCTGCATTGCTTTAATAATCAGCACATATCCTCAGCTCACCATCCCCTCCAGCTCTCTAAGGATGCAGATTCCAGTTATTATAAAAGCAAAGTATCAAAATACTTGAGCCAATCCTGTTTGCAAACGAAATGGAAGAGCTGAAGCACCAACTCACCAGATTCTCTTCAAACCACTCCCGCAGACACACTGCTGTGGCCCCTGGAATCTGACTCCGCAGTGCCTCCTTCTCCTGGGGATCCTCCAGCATTTCCAGGGCCATCTTCAGATCTTCCAGAAGATGCAAAATTTGAAATGTGCCCAAGTATACTGATGGAGCAGGTGACACAATATCGTAACCATTAGCATACTCTGTAGCTGACTTTGTACCTAAACCAAGGAAAACCAGGAGAGAAAATAATATTACAGAATTGTTTTGTTGATGACAAATATATAGGTACTGCACACTGCAACATTTGGACTTCTGATGCTAATACACAAGCATCAGAATTTCAGGCTTAGAAAGACTTGAATTCGTCTCTAGATAAATCATGAACACTGGAGAGCTAAATGTGAGAGGTGTTTACATATTAAAGAAAGAATTTTGACCTAGAAAACATTTGCAATGTCTATCAAATTCTAAATGTCAAAACCTTCATACAAATCCCCTGTAATTTTCCACAGTTACCATGAGATGTCACTAACTTCTCAGCTACATAGCCAGAAGTTCCCACACAGCACAGTGTTCAGCGATGTAACCCTCTGACAAGAGACTCAGACAAAAATAGATCATGTTACCAGAACTAGAAAAATATATGACTGTGAGCAGGTTTAAAACTCTCCCACAGAGAACAAAGCCCAAAAGGTTAGCAATAAAAATGGCAAAAGAAACTTTGCTAGCTCTCTAGATTACAAAAAGCTCTAAGTCACACCACCCACCAGCACAGATATTGCATTCTTGACAACTACAAGCACAGGAAAAAACATACCTCACTGATGGAAGGATTATAAAGAATACAAATCCTAATATCTCCAAATCTCTTTGCTTAGCACCCTGTGTTTCAATGAGGTGCACACTAAAATAAGCTCAGTTCTGAATTTCAGACCTTGATTTCATTTAATATCCCTTTGTTTCCCTAAGAACTACTCAGGTGGAAAACTTCTATTTGCTCTCCTTTTCCAGGTTTCTTTTCACAATTCATTTCCTCGTGTGCATAATAGATTGTACTCATGTCTTCTTTCATGCTCTCTCTGGCATAAGCAATCACATTTCCCTCCTCTATTTGACTTAATTGGAGTTTTTTTTAAGTTTTTGATCATTCATATTGCACTGGACCCAATAGCATAGAGCATTCATTAGCAGACCACATAATTGATAAACACAAAGGGATTATAATAATCTCCTTACTATTCTCCATTTTACTCCTGTGTTTAACATCATTTACATCTTAGTTATGAAAGGACCAAAAATCTCCACTGGACCTTTGACTATTATCTGCAGGGTTTTTTTTGTCTTGAGCAGATGTATCTAATGTGATGTATAAATGTATAAGGAAGTCACATTTTCTGCTTGAATACACATTACTTTTGATTAATCAATGTTAGTTTGCCTGCTATGGTCATTTTTTTACCATGATTTGGACATTTCAAACTATGTTTGAACCCAATGCTTTATTTACATGTAGCCTGATACACAACTAATACCTAAACACAACTCCAGAAAACATTGATACTCTAGGTCCAAGCACACTGAAATGCCTTCTGCACCTAGATTATCTTTTAACCAAAATGCTAATAGATTACTTGATCCTAACATTATTCCCATGTCAATCAGTTTTCAAAGAAAACCATTATTTTTTCTGTCATTTTGTGAGTGCTAAACTTGACTCAAAGCTTTTGGGATAATTTAAATAATATTAACCAGTTTTCCCTCAACCACTGTTTTAATGACACAAAGAGTTCTGTCAGATCTCTGCAAAAAAATTGTGTGGCTTGAATTCTGCTGTAGGATGATGTTTTTGTGTTTGACTGTTTTAAACAACGAAAAACACCCCTAGAAACTTTTAAACTTCAGCAAAGCTCAGTAGTAGGGGGTTAAATTTTTTTAAAGCAACACTCATTTTCACTACTAGAGTATTTCATCTCATCTTAACCTCTTTTCAGACTCAGAATATTCTTTTTGATCCTGTTGACTTCCGCTGCTTATGAGTTTATTTTAATACCTCAGGTGCAAGATATCATCTTAACTTCTGGCTAAGACCATGTCCAAGATAAAGTTTCTCCAATATCCGGTGCTACAAAGCTACAGGAGACAACCTCACCTCATAAATCAGCCTTGCCTTCCTGAATTACTTCCCTTTGAGGACAGGGATCAACTAACTCTAGCTGGACTTGAGTATTCTAACCACTAAAAGATATTTTCTTATGCATTTCTGTACTCTCAGCTCCTCATGTCAGCTTGTTTCTGTATCTCCTAGTGCAAACTCGAGCAACTAAAAATAGCAGAGTTCCAAATTGTGTAAGAGCCATTGGGATCACATAACCTCTTACATCTTTTCATTCAGCCAGAGGGGCTCACTACTTAATTTCCAAAGGATAAACTGAAATCTAGCATTGTTTTCTTCAGTAGCAATCATACCACTTTTAAAGGTTTGGCTTCCTTGGTTCTTGTGTCATTAGGACTTCTCCAAAAGGAAGAGTGAGAAAACTATTTTAAAACTCCATGCTACCTTTTTTTGTGAGTAAGTACTTTTCACACTAGAAAACTCCAAGTTATTTCATAATCAGCTCTGGTAGCTACATCTTCAATGAACTTACAGGATAAAATAGCCAATGCAGTGACAGTGCAGGTCACACATTTTGGCCTTTATTTGATTTACCTCTATTACAACACTAAGGAAAACAACATATATGCACACTCTTTAACCCTGGCAAGGGAAAGAACTGACACCCTCAAGAGACTTAATTCTGGAAAGGCAAAAATCCTTAAGTGCTGGAGCACAGCCAGGGCCAGGGCTGACGTGATTCCTGAGCCTGGGCACACTCCCTAAGCATCCTCCAGCCATCCCAGGCTCTGCAACTGCCTGCTCAGATGGGCAGAATTCTAAGCAAAATTTGAAACTGCTTTCAAACTGGTTAGCCCTGAGTTGCTAAGGCAGTACCTTTTATTCTCCTAACTGAAATGGAAAATGGAGAACTCCTCTGAATGCAACAACTAATGCATGTTAGACTAGGTGAAAAAAATGCAGAAATACAGAGTTCAACTCAGCATTTTAATTCAGAAAGCTTCCTGTTTTACTGCTAAAATTCAAATGAATCACGGGCTTGCTTCTCTTATTTGCTTTTCAAGGAGTTTCATACTAAGTAGGATCTGTACTGTTCACCAGAAGGACAAGAACACACCCTGAAAAACAGAAGTAAAAGTGCGTAGGAGTAAATAATTATACTTCTTTGCATTAGTTTAAACCTTTACAACATCATGCTGCAAAGCACATGAAGTTTTAGCACCAGACAGTAAGAATTTGGATCTCATTGCAGATTGATGCAGAAAAAAAAACCAACCCCAAAACAAAGTGATGCCACAGAGCAAACACAACACTCTGTCATCATAGTATACTCTACCACCAAGAATTGTTACAACAACAACATCAGCAATTAATTCATGTGCAGTTTTGTTATAGATAAGTGTAGAGGGGAAGAATGCAGCTCAAGCACGAGAGCTTCACTGATACTCAGGAAAAATGAGTGCAGTTTGGAACTCTTGAAAAAAGACTCATTCTTTTCTCTCCCTGAGCCTCACTTGTTTTCCAGGGGTAAACAGAACACAGGGGAACCTTTTGTCATGATGTTTAGATGATATATGATGCCACAGTTTCCTAGTCTACTACTGGAACACAACTAATCATAAAAAATGTCTACTTTAGAGGAGTAGGAAAGAAAGAAAGTGGGGAAAAGATGTTGGAACTAAGATGCTCCAAGTAGTTTACTTCTGTCTTGCCCAAAGTGGAAGGAGGCTAAATGTTGCTGCACAGTATGTAGGCAGAAAGAATAAAATAAGTAATAAAGACAGGAAAACAACAGAAGTTACACATTTCTTACAGCTTGACCATGCAAGGATGTTTTTTATTTCCAAGTTCCTCACAATTCACTGAACAGCTTCAAAGAAACATTCCTTTTGGGAAACACATCCCCTAGCCAGAAAACAGCACTGCTGGTAGCTAACACAAGTTATTAAGCAGAAGTAAAGAAAAGCAGAAAGCCTTGTCAGTTCACAAATCCACTCTCCTCAGCTTATATTGTCCATCACATTGGTCTAGCAAATATTGTTTCTGATCTCTCACTTTCCCTTCATCTGAACTTCTGCTCCCCTACACACACCCTTGTTATCTCAGTCTTTTTGCCCTAAAACTGGCTGAGTTTTAAGAAAAATTCCTTGTAATGGACAACTCACCCATCAGTGGTTAAAAAGAGGTTTTCCTATACCTGCTGGCTCCTTTAGATCAGAAACTAGCAAAAAAACCCCAACAAAAGTCCCACAGCAAAAACCAAACAGTACTTTTATCCTGGGTAATGATGACTTAGTATAAAGCTGAAATACTCAAGAATAACAATTCTAATATCTGACCCACAGTGGTTAGAATAAAATTATAAATATACATTTTTATCTGACCTTGCAGTCAGTCATTACACTGCTAGAAAACACTTTTTTTACCTGAATTTTTACTCAATGAGCATGAAGGTTGTCCAAGTTCTTCCTCTCTCCTTCAAGACTACAATGTGTAATTTTCTTTGAAGAACAATTTTCTTTTTCTTATGAAGTTAGCCTTGGAAATGTGAATTTATGTAAACTAGTAGCAGCAAGTTCTGGATGGGACATATTTCAGGCTCCTTGTTTCAAAGCCTCCTGTCAAATGAGTGAAGCAGCTCACACAGTCCTTTCTTCTAATACTGTAATGCAAAACACATCACAAATGGTGTGTTTTGAATCACAGCTTATATTAACTCCTCAAATCTCTGCTGTTAGATCTTTAACTACAGGGAACAGTAACTATTAAGCTGGATTAGCAGGAAGCCCTAGGAAGAAATTTCCAAGCCTAGAAATGTTAATGACCACACTCAGATGCAAGTTTCATGCAGCTCGGGTGGTTTTCAGCTGAGCTCTGTGTACAATCAGCCATGGAATCTTTGAGACAATTTTCCAGAACTCTCTATAATTTCTTATGCAAATTGTATCTGTAATTACTCAACCTTTTCCCTTCTACTTTCCTTCTGTCCATGCTTCTGGATGCTAAGCTGTGATTTGTAGCACATTAGGGACTGCATACACAGCTACAACCCAAAGATCTCTCCTGTCCAGAAACACAAGCTAAGCAACCTTAGAGCTGATGGAA